TTCGGTTCCCTTTTTCGCGACGCGCGTCAAGTTATGCGTGGTCTACAATGCGAGTCGCAGAGTCGTAGTCGTAAGAATAATCGACTGCGATTGGTCAATTTCGTCAGATACGTAAGAATTGACCAATCGCAGTCGACTATTGTTACGACTACGACTTTACGACTTCTATGTAGACGAGGCTGAACGGCCGCTTTACGTTTCTCTCTGTCTACGTCTACGACTGAGGCAGTCTTAAGCCCGTATCAGACTACGGATTGAGATTGGGATTAGATTGAAATTTGACTAATCAGAGTAAAAGTTACTGAACTTAAGATTAGTAAACTTTACTGTGATTGGTTAAATTTCAATCTAATCCCAATCCCAATCCGTAGTCTGATACGGGCTTTAAGCGTTTACGGATTGTTCTCTGCCATCAGCCTTTAGCCTCGCGCATCTCCGCGAGTCCTTCCCGCCGGAATGTTCTCGTCGTTTCGCGCGATGCCATCTCGCCAGATTCGGCTCGTGTTTCCGCGCGCGATTGTTTCTCGTTCTCGCTGCACTTCGGTAATCGTCTTTTCTCTCGCGAGTGTCGCGTTGTGCCAGTGCGAGACGGAGGAGTCTGAGAGGAAGCGGCGGTCTAGGAGGCATCGGGCAACGGCGGAGCAACTTTATGGTAATTATTTTTTATTTCGTATAAAATTTATCTTGTTGTTTATTTAACATAATTTAAAAATTATTTTCTTGAATTGATTTTAATGTGAATCTTATAATTTTATGTTACAGAATCGACGCAGTTGAACTCCGCTGCTGCGCATCGCGGGTCGGTAAGTCGAAAACTTTTTTTATTAAGGCAACGAGTATACATCTCGTAATATATCTTGTAGATACAGAGATGTATATTCGTTGCCTTAAAATGGATAGGTTTCAAATGCTATGTCGAGCTCATTTTCCACTTTGAGAATCATTAAGTTACATGACAGAACTTAAGCGAAATATGGCGAATATTATTGATATATTCGTCGAGCTAATCTCTTGTAACCTATCCATTTTTATTAATGAATTGATATATAAATTAGAATACCATGACGTGAGATCCTAATATATTTATCGAGAACACTGAAATTTTAACTTATTTTTATATATTGTTTGCAGTTATTAATTTATTATAATATGCAAAGTTATAATATGCAATTACAATATCGATTGAAATTGTGAAAGAAGTTTCGTTTTTCTGGATCTCACATCATTTATTCTGTGTATGTACGTATGTGCAGGGTTGGGAAGTAGAACTTACAGTTCCAGTTTCCTTATTTTTTTTTTGGTAACTCTAACTTAACTTCGTTACTTTCTCTCCATCTGTAACTGTAACTTAACTCACTTACAGTAAGGGTTATTTTATGTATATTTTAAATCTCTACAGATCGCATTAGGTCTTGCATTTGCACATAAACGCTTTTATCGACACTTTACAATTAAAACGCAGATTTAATATTTTTATTTTCATTGCAAGAGAGTAACTGCAAAGTAACGATTCGTTACTTTTTTTTAGTACCTGTAACTGTAACGCGTTACTTTTCAGAATTGGTAACTTGTAACTGTAACTAGTTACATTTTTAGCGAAAAAAACTGCAACTGTAACTAGATACTTTTATACAGTAACTTCCCAACCCTGCGTATGTACATACGTGATATATGTACTGTCAAGATGCGTCTCGCATGAATACATGCAGTCACACGCATCTTTGTATTTTCGCGGTCGGTTTTCGCGATCGGTTTTTACAGAAAAATTTTCCAGAAATTATTGTTTAATTTTATTCACATTATAAATTTTAATTTATCGTGAAATATGATTAAAATCATTCTAACGCGAAATAAATTTGTTTCTATATCTACTTAAATTTAAAATTCAAAGATCAAGTTACGAAGAGTTAGTTAATATTTTTGAATAAATAACGAAAGTAAAAATTAATTTGATACGTATACAGTAAAGTTTTTTTTAATTAATATTCTCTTTTAATTAACTTCTCGTGATCATGCATTTTTCGATACGATCGACTCTCGTAAATTCGAACTGTACAGAATATTTGTCGGTGACGATAACCGACTGGAAGGAGTTATCTTCCTTCTTGATCTCTGGTCAAAATGATCAGATTGTATGGCCAGGAGCAACAAAAGGTATGTCCAATCTGGCCCAACGAGGGAAGACTAGATACAACGAACTTAAGTGGTTACTATTGGCCACTCTGATGTATTGTATGATTTCTATTTATTTGTTATAATTTGGGTGGGTTCTGCTTCTATGCTTTTATTATATATGCATACATTCTCGCATTTGTGCGAGAGTGAAACCCCTATTAAATCCCGCGGGCGCGTTAAACTCCAAATCAAACCTGTAGAAAATCGCGTCGCGGTTAGTTAGAGATTAGTAGGTTTATTATGTTGAAACACGGATAGATAGAAAATGGATAGGTAGGTCTGCAGATCGGAGTAAGAGTAGGTAGGGATTCGGATAGGCAGGGACAGGGGGGCATAATTCGATAGTTTAAAAGAATAAGTAACATAAATTAACGAAGTAACAATAACTTTAATGTAATAAGTACCTAAAAAGAATTTCGTGTTACTGTACACATACCGAATATTTTATATGTAGCGGCGGGAGAAATATTGTAGGCATTGTACAGAATTATATTTTTAATTTTATAATGCAATTATTTCCTTTATAATATTGTATGCACTGTGTAAAGTAAATTATAAGAAAAATGAAACAAATAATAAAAATGCAAGAAACCAAATTCTAAAGAAAAGAGGACCGTCGATTAAACGCGGCGGGGGTGGTGGAGGGCCTCTATATATATATATATATATATATATATATATACATAAATATACACTGAGAAAAATGCCCGATTAAATATAATCGGATAATTTCATAATACACATAATAAACAATTACATAATACCAAACGGATATATCCAATTAAAGTGTATATCCGGTGAAAAGTATGACCGGTTTTTCAATAAAATTTCATCGGTAACTGCATTTCATCGGATAAATTTCATCAGATGTATCCATAATTTAATCGGAAAAATTCACTTTCGAAAACACTATTTAATTGGTTCATCCGATGGAAATTTTTCTCAGTGTATATATT